CACGGGCGGCCGCGAGCAAAGCCCTCACCGCGGCCCCGAGCGCGGCCATCCGCGGCGCCGCTGCGGCGGAAGCCCCTCTGCCCCGACCGGAAGCCCCGGCACGCGTGCCCAGTCACCCAATCGCCTGCGGTGGTGTCTGCTCGTGCGCCTGCGCGGGCCACGCCCGCGAAAGCCTGACTCTGATTGGCTGCGCCGTGCGTCTGTCCGCTCCTGCGGTTCGGCCCCGCCTAGTCCGGGCGGGGAAGGGGGACTTGGCCCCCTGCGACGCCGGTGGGGCCTGCGGCTGGCCGAGTGGACCGGGGAGCGGGGGAACCGGGCCGTCTAGAATGACTGGCCTGCGTAACGAGCCAGCAGGTCCCTGGAGGCCCGACCCGGGAAAGACCGGACAGTCGGGGCTGAGAGCTCCGAGTGTGGTCACCGTGCTCAGTGACGTCCCTGGTAGACCACCAGGGGTGCCTCTCAACTCCGGGGTGAGGCCAGGGTCAGCCCGGGCCCCGTGCTGTGCCAGGGCCTGTCTCTGGATTGTCCTCGGCTGCGCCGGGCAGCGGAGCAGAAGGGAAAGAGGAGGTTTGTTCAGCTCGGGTCGAGGGTCAGTGTCCGTGGGGACAGGCCAGGAACAGCCCCAGGACGAAGCCAAGGCTGAGATTGGGCAGCGCCCCGGCCAGGCGCCTCCCCAGTGCAGAAGCACCTTTGCTCCCGCTCTGCCTCTGCTTGGGGCAGGAGTCCTCACGTGTCCTGGCTTCCGTGCCCACCCTGCCCAGGCCTCTCCTAAAGTGCCTCCGGGAACCCTGTGTTTTCCTTGCATAGCACTTCCCCGAAACGAACTCATTCCCTCATTTTCCTGTTTCTTCCGTGTCTCTCTCCTCACCCGTGCTCTAGGAGGGCACGGAGTCTTGATGATGTGTGTGCCAGTTCTCCCAGAATAGCGCCTGGCCAAGAGAAACTCCCCATAGATTGTCCAGGAGGCTAGGGAGAGCCAAGCCTGGCCTTGAAGCGTCTGCCCCAGAGAAGTCGGGGGTGACTGTTGCAGATAAGTAACTCCGATGTTCAGCTCAGAGGAGCCTGGAAAAGACCCCCGTGATGCCTGCATGGAGTACGTCCTTGGAAGGGCTTCCTAACCCCCTCCCCCACCTGGCCCCATACTAAAGCCCAAGACCAGGAGCTGTGCGGGAGACCCCAGACAAGCACACAAGCTCCCTCCTGGATGGATTCTACACTTAAGTTCCAGCAGCCTCTTCTGGAACCTTCTCCTGGGGCCACAATGTGGGCTTCCCAGACTTCATGAGAACCATCTGTGCCCCTGCCAGCTGTGACATTGGGGAGCCCCTCAACCTCTCCAGCTCAGGGTCGTCATCCCTGAGAGGGACAAAGACACTACCTTCTGTGTGGGGGACAATGTGGTTAGGTCCCTGCAGGTGCTCGGAGCCCCAGCGTCTCCTCCTGCAGCCTGCCTTCCCCTTCCACCAGAGCCTCACCTGGGGCCCTGTCCACTTGGCCTGCTATCAGAATCCCCTATCGCCAGCCTCCTTCCTAACTGCCTAGGGGGCCCGGCCTGAGCCTACTGTCACCGCTCCCCCCTCCCCCAGGTCCCAGGCCCTTCTGACCCCTCTCCTTGCTCCCTCACCCCACTGTCTTACCCACACCTTGGAATCTGGTGGGATTGGGTTCTTGAAGGCTCAAGAGTACCAGGCCCTGTGTCCTGCTGGCTGCCCTCACAGAGGTCACAGCCAGTGGGGGCTCTGGTGGGTGCCAAGGGTTCCAGGAGGTCAGCACCAAGGGGTAGTGCTTTCCCAGACCTGGTGACCTTGCTTCTGGCCTAAACGTTGGGCTGCACAGCCTCCTGGATGGACAGGCCTCCCGGGTGCGCCGGGTCTGAGCAGCCAGGCTGGGTCAGAGCTGAGCTCGACCCCTCCCCTGTCCTGGCCCCAAGGAAGACACAGCGGACAGCCGGGCTTGAATATTTAATGAGGCTCGGCCACGGATGGGCGGGGCCTAGGCCTTGCGGGAAGCAGTGGTGCGCACGCGCAGCACGCTGGCGCGCAGGGCGGGCTGGTGGTCGCCCGCGGCCCAGCGCATGCCGGAGGCAGCCCCCGCGTGCTCCGGCCATGGCCCGTTGAGGTCCGCGTGGCCGCAGGCGCTGTACCACCATCCGGCTCCCGAGCGATCGTGGCTGCAGCTGGTGAAGGTCCGGGCGCGATCCGTACAAGGCGTGCAGTGGTCATGGTCGCGGTCCAGCGTGCTGAAGCCACAGCCCTCCTGGTTGTCCGTCTGGCCCAAGCCCCGGAACGCGTCCCCTGCGCGGTGTGGTGGCGTGGGCGGCGGGCTAGCTGCCCCTCAGGCCCCCGCTCGCGGCCTTGCCATCTGGGACCCCAGATGGAGAGGGACAGTCTTCCCCAGAGCACAGAGGCTGGCAGATGTGGGCCGGAAAGTAGGGGGTTCCAGGGACCCAACCTCCCCCACCTACCCTGGCCTGCTGCACGAGTCCCCCTCCTGCAGCCTGGAGAGCCCAGGGGCAAAGCAGGACACTTGGGGGCAGGCACAGGGGTTCCTTGCCTCCTCAGCACTCACCTGCATTCCCCGAGTACAGGCCGAGGGTCAGCTGGTAAAACTGGTCCTCCTTGTCCACGTGGAAGTTATCATAGTGGGCCTGAAGTGTGTGGTTTTCTGTGTCCAGGAGATCCACCACCAGCTCTGAGCGCAGGCCCGGCTGGGAGGTCAGGCCAGAGATGTGCTCCAGCCCCAGCCAGTGGTCACCTGCAGGAGTGGGGCACCCGGGCAGAGGCTACTGTGTGACGGGCCCCCCCTAGCCTCCTCCCGCCATCTCTCTCCTATGTCCCCGGTGGGGGTCAGGGCCTTGGGGTGCTGGCTACACCCCTGTGCCCCACGGGCAGCACAGTCCTACCTCTCAGGTCTCCGAAGCCTCGTTTGTACTCCTGCCAGCACCTCTCAAAGTCCAGGGGCCTCCGCCGGCCCCGGTCTCGGCTCTGAATCACCGTCCAGCCACCGTCCGTGTGCATGTCACAGAGAACCTGGGGGACGGGTCAGCCCGTGGCGGCCCGAGAGGGCCAGGCTGGATGCAAGCAGGCCTGCCCCTCTCCTGCCCATCCTCCCTTGAACACTTTGCATTTGAAAACTGAAACTTTGTTTTTCTACTTGTCAGTGTCATATAAACTTGCATCACATTAAATTCACTTTCTCAGAAAAGGGGTCAAACTTGGCAGTGAGGTCACAGGCCCCCAGGAGGGCTGCTCAGTTTGATGTCATTCTGCACCCTGCTTTGTTTTTTCACTTAATGTTGTCTCCTGGGCTCTTTCTTTGTTCATACCCTTCGAGGTGGGAGCCTAGGTTTCTCCCAGCCTTTCCTGACTGTAACACAACGTCCGTGAACACCTCTGTGCCCAGGTGTGTCTGAGGACGGACTCCACCAGCAGCGCCTGGCCTGGCTGGCCCTTCTCCTGCTAGGTGGACAGTGCCATCCCTTGTTTTTTGTCCAAGTGACACACACATTACCCCCGGGCCCTCGCTGCGGGCTGCTCACCTTGAAGGGGGCGCTGGCTCCCTCTGGCTGGATGGTGTACACACCACTGCGGGCCCTGGGGCTCTCCACCCAGATATGAGAGCAGTCCCTCCCTGTGGGGGATACGTCCAGGAAGGCTCAGGGCCTGGAGAGGGGCCATGCCCTCTCGGTGACCAGAACCAGAACCCTCCTCCTGCGGACGCCCTGTGACAATCTGGCGGACGATTTACGACCTTGGTCCTGGTGGGTGGGCGGCCACAGTCCCCTCACCTTGGGCCATACCTGTCTCAGGCCTCTTCGGAAATGGCTGTGCCTTGGGCTCTGCCAATTTGCTGGTCCCCCAGCCCTCGGCCAGACCCTCGATTCTTCCCGAGGCCCCTGGACACCACCTCACGCCCTCACCTGCTGCCCTTGGAAGGTCAGTCTTGGCTTCCCTACCTTCCTCCTCCTGGCCTGGCAGTGGTCTGAGGGCTACCCCAAGTGCAGCCGGCGTTAGGAGAGAATACAGTGGGGCCTGGTCCTTGCCTGCCCTCCCCCCCCAGGCTGTTCTGGGCAGGGACCCGGCCAGGTCCTCATGGGGGGTGAGACCTGCTGGGTGGGGACCTGTGGGTGACAGGTGGGAGGCTGTCCGGCTTGGGCCCACCTGGCAGGCCCCTCCCTCTGCCCCCCCACCCAGCCAGACCTTGGGGTTCCAGAAGCACCACCGGCACCTGTGGAGAGAGGACCCGGGTGAGAGGCAGGCTCGGTAGCTCTGGGAGTCCCCAGCTCATCGCAGGCTAGTGAGACCCGTTGGCCTGACGGCCGCTCTTACCAGCTGTCGATACCGCACCATGGAGCTGACCTGGGGCGCAGAGAGGAAGAGGAGAGCGGCAAGACCCAGCACAGGGCAGGCAGCCATGCTTCCTGAGGGTGCAGACATGGTGGGTGGAGAGCCCAGCCCAAGGCCCTGCCAGCCTCCCTTCACGCCCCCCCTGGGTGCTCACTGTTGTCTTTCTGGGCAGAGCCGAGCCCCTGGTCCCCAGCACCTTTTGTGCGGGCACTGGGCTCACCCCGCCTCCTCCCTGCCCAGGGGCTGGGCGGGGAGCC